TTTGCATGCAGCCCTAAGTAGGAATGAGGAGAGGTGTGAGGAGAGATGCACTCTGGTTTGGTAGGTCAAATCCAGTTTTGGTTTTGTGGATCAAAAAAAGTACATAAGGTTTTGCATGTTTGCCTAATATTGCCTCGTGTAGGAGCAAGCAAAAGCAAATAGTGTTATGAGATGGTCAAAAGAGAATGAAAATATTTTCATGATCATGTAAATGCTCCAACACTACCAAAAAGAAATGCATTTTGGAGAAGCTGTTTAGAGAACAGCTTCCAAAGAAGGTGTCCTCACCCACAGCAGAATAATAACAGCAACAGCAGGAGCACATTCCTAGTTAGACTCTAACAGGAGTCGTAGTTCATTTTCTGCTGCTTCCTGCAACTATGGAAACTATATCATTACTAATGTTGGCCTTTCCTCTGTGCAGTTTTGAGCTCCAGCTATAGTGCTCAAGTCAGTACATCAACCAGTTTTAGACTATTGGAAGAGCAGTGAGCAAGATGTAATTAAGTCCTGTACAACTCCCTCAGCTCTGAAGATAGAATTAAGGCAGTATCATCAATGCAGGCACTTGCACCCACTCATGTACAACTCCCCACTGTTCTTTGGAGTATTTTTTACATTTACTTTATTTTTTTGGTTGCCAGAGACACAATATACATTTGTGCTGTTAATTTTATGAAACAGTGACCCATTTACTGTTTAAAGACATGCCCAAAGAGTGCTTGCTGTGCCATTAAATACTCTTCAGGTGAAAGAAGGGAACTGATCAGGGAGAGTGTAGCCTCTGGCATATGGTTTTTACAGGAAGCATGCTGGTCTGGGGCCACACAAAGCCAAGGAAAAGAATGGGCATCAGAGCAAAATCAAAAGCATTCCAGAGAGATGCGTCTTGTCTCTAGCAGATTGCCCAACATAATCTATAAGGAAAATACTTCAGCTTCTTTGCTATGTGAGAACACTTCATGATTTTTTACCAAAAGAAAAGATTATATTTGTAACCTCTCATAAGTTCTTCAGCAAAGTCCATCAAGTTAATGACATTCTTTCCCGTGAGGCTGCAAAAAAAGTGCACAGAATGAAGTGTTATCTAGAAATTGCACAGCCCACAGATCAGTGCAGGGGGAATACAAAGACCCATCTTTTCTGGCGGCAGAAAGCAAATAGCCTATTCAGAAGTTTGAATTAAAAAAAACAACTACTAAAATATTTTTTTGCTCTTGCTTTGGGTCCTGAAATGTGCTCAGCACACTGACCCCAATCTAGCAACACACTTGCAGTCCTGGGGAGCCTAAATGAAGTCAACAGACCCAACCTGCAAATATAGACTGTCTCTTTCCTGAGAAGTCTCCTGGGCTTTGTACATTTTCCTAAGCCCCCAGGATACCATTCTAACCTCATCATATTAAACGTGATTACTAATACAAAACAAAGAGAGTGTTTCCCTAATAAAACCTTGATGTGCTCATCATATCAGTCAGATTTTTCAACACACACAAAATTATAGTAACTGTCCTTGTGAGGGATGTTGTAAAAAATTGATCTTCTAATTTAAGGTTTTAGAGTTGCAATTATGCTACAGGATTAACCTGTGCCTTAGGGGAGTGACAGTGTGGGGAAAACACATCGGGGGGCATTTTCCATTATTGCACTGTGTCTAGTGATGATGGTATCTAGTGATGATGGTAAGTTGATATACTTCAAGTTCTTGTCTTTCCCTCATGTATACAGATATCTGCATGTTATATTCAGGGTCTGCTTACTGGAGTACAACCAACATCCTGAATCTCACTGGTTTGCTTCATTGTGCCAGCTATAGTTCCCAGGTATTGTGACCCATAGTTTCTAAATACAAGTTCACTCCCCAGAACTCTGCCTAAATATCTCAGATGGATGCTAAAGAAATGTAAGAAAGAAAATGAGAAAGAGGATAATCTGTCCTCCCATGAGCTGTGCTGAGGCTATGGAGCTACTAAACTTAGTTCCCCATTTTCTTCATGGGAGGAAGGTATGGGGAGTGTGCACTGTGGTCCAACCTATCACCATTACTTCAATAGCTGCTCTTTTACCAGTCACAACAACAATTTCCACAAAGATGCTGGGCTTCTTATCTGGCCAGCAGTATTCATAGTGTGCAGCACCGCTACATTTCAGTAAGTTTATCAATTCTGCCCAACGACCCTTACATGTTAATTTTAGGCAGCTCCTGGTGCTCTTAACCCCTTGATTATCCACATATTAACACATTAAACTATTTTTAAGTACTCTTTAGGCTTCTTAAAGTTATGCCACTCCAGACTAGGGGCCTTGTTGCACATTGCAATTTGGCTTGCTCAGCTGTTTATCAGTGTCAGTGCTAGCTTGAGTTTGAAGCAGTCATATCTTAAGGCTAAAATCCTTCTCCGACTGTCCCCCCACCTGCACAGCTGTAACTTGCTACTAGGAGTCTGGTGAGCAGGGACCTGACTAGGAGCTACAGCTGAGTTGCCACTACAAGGCTGGTGAACCAGGACAGGCTTCTATCTCTACTCTAGGTGGGGGGAATGAGAGATGGGTTGTTGGAGGGGAGGGTGGAACATGAAGCTGGGAGGCAGAGAGTTAATAGGATGGGGGTGGGTAATGAAATAGGAGGTTAAAGAGAAGTGGGGATGGGAGAAGGGTGGTGAAATGAAGGAAGTCACCCACTGAAGGATAAAATAAAAGGAAATTTTAAAAAAAGAATTTGTTATAAAACTGTAAATCAAAGAAGGTCTTATGTTTTAGTAAATTGGGATTTGGGATTGGGGTACACTGGTCATGCTTCACAGAGTAATTGGGAGATGGAAATGGTGAAGGAAGGCATTTTTGTGGGGAGCTACTCCCCCTGCCCATGAAAAAAGCCCCAGCTTATTGGGACCTGTTCTGGCCCCCACCTTGTTCTTTCCCAGCCACGCTAGACTCCTGAGTCTGCCTATGCCCTGTAACCTGACTATCTGGCATGTGTTCTGCAGACTGTCTGCACAGGGTTGCACCACTGGGGGTAGGAAAGTCATATCCCTGGGGGTTGGAGAGGGAGATGGCTTGGTGCCAGAACTAGTCTGTGGGCAGTAGAGTTCAGGAGTGGAAAGTTTGTCCGTACAGAACAAAAGAGGAAGGGACATTGCATTCTAGGATATTGGAGGACTGTAACTTGGGCAACTCATCTGTGGGGAGTGGCTACACATTAATGGAACACAAGCTGGGTACCACAGATTAGAGATAAACTTGCCCTGCTATGATGTAACTTTAAGCCACCTAAAGTGTGCATAAACTAGTTTTAGGTGTTAATGTGTGGGTAATCCAGGGGTTAAAAGCTCCAGGAGCCACCTAAAATTAATGTGTAACAAAGCCCTAGGTATATCTCTGATCCAAGTTACCCAGCTTGTGTTACACTAACATGTAGCCACTCTAGGCTACACATTAATGTTAACATCTCACCCGCACCCCCTCTCCCACTGACCCAGATCAGGCAGGCATGCTGCCCCCCAAACCCACTGATCAGGCAACGGCCCCCTGCCCTCATCCGCCACCAGCCCAGATTGGCCCGCTGACCAATCAGGCCCATCATTCCCTGTCCCCCCAGCACCCCAGATCCCCACTCACCCCCCGTCTTCCTCCACAGCTTACTTTGGCTGCCAGCACTGCCCCAGGGGAGCAGGAAGGGAAGGGAAATCCACCTGCCCAGCCCCCACTACTACTGTCCAGGGACATGGGGAGAGGGGGGAACCTTGCTGGGCAGTGGGAGAGCCACCAACCCGGATCAGCCTTCTGCCCGCCCTCCCTCCCCCCACTTCGCTGGATCAGGCCCACTGAATATGATCAGGCCCCATGATCAGGCCCATGATATTCAATGTTTTCACATCGATACTATTGTGGTTTCATAACAGAAAGCTGTATGTTTAGAAGTATAAGCCTGAGAATTTATCCCAAAAAATCAAATGGATTTCTTTTCTTTACTGATCTGACTAGCAAATACGAAGTTACTATTAACTTGTTCCATCCAGGAAGAGCACACACCAACTGCTGCAGCTTCCTGAGCCTGACGAAGGGTTTTTGAACCCGAAAGCTTGCTTAACAACTATTCTCCAACCATTTGGGTTGGTCTAATAAAAGATATCAAATTCACCCAAGGAACCTTGTCTGCCAAGTTACTATTAAAACATCTATCATAATAACCCATATGGGCAGTGCCCAACTTTGCAAATCCACTGATATATGTGTGCATGAGCTTCTGAAAGCAACAGCACTTAACAGAGCAATGTGGCCAGCAACACATCAAGCTGCCTCTGACTTTCCAGCTTGAATGACATGTATCCATTTAGTTGGATAGACAGAGGGCAACCTTTGAGGAAAGCCCCAAGCAAGACTAGAACACAGGTCTCTGGAGCTATAACCGAACCCCTTAGTCGCTCGATCACCACAGAGCTGATAAGAAGTCATGATGAATTAGAGTGCCTCCACCCCTGGGCTTGCCTACTGAATTCCAGTCACACGTCAACACCATAATTAAGGATCTGGTCTATGTGACATGCTAGTGTTGTTATATTCCTGAAGCAAAAAAGGGCCTAGAAGTGACATGTGAACTATTGCTGGGAAAGTAACCATGGATATCAACAAGAGGTATCTGAAACCCATTGGAATTAATGAAAAAATTCTAACAGACTTTAATGGGCTTTGGATAAAAGGAAGAGATTTGGGGTTTTTTACATATGGTTTATTTGCAGTGCAGAGGACAACACTGGTGCTCAATTACTATACAACAGTTTTGATAAACTATTTGTTTTTAATAAAATGTTTCTCCAACCCAGATTGGGTTGCTTAGTTTCCATTAACCTGAGTGAAAATAGCATTATCTAATTTACATGGGCACAAACCAAGAGAGAGTATTGAAGTAAGCAGCAGCAGAATTTGGTCCAATATTTCTGTGCACCAGAGGAAAAAGTAAGTATCCCTTTAAACAGGATCCTATTGTTTTTGGTTTATAGGTGAGACTGACTTTTGCACTGCAGGAAAGCTCAGGGCAAAGAAAGAATGCTGTAAGAAAACATGCTTGTCGGGGAAAATGTTTTTGTGTTTAAAAGCACTCAGCAAAATCCTGTTTCTGGTAAGTAAAATTAGCTTGGGTTTCCCCCCAACCCTTGAATCAAATGAACTATTCATGAATAACTGAATTTCTCTGAGGAAGAAATGAGAGTAGAAAATGAAGTTGGGAAAGCCTAGGAATAGAATTGGCTATCAGATGACAATTCCATTCTATAGCAAATGTCAAAGTTTTGCTATTTGTTTTTGTACCACATTGGAATAAAAGTAAAATATTTGGCACATTTTTGCAAAATGGAATGATATGAAATGCCTGTTTGCAGGTTTAAAAGGTCTGGTTTTAAGTTAACTCCTCTCTCTCTCTCTCTCTCTCTCTCTCTCTCTTTGTTTCTTCCCCTCACCCCTCCCCATCCTTTCTGATCAGAGAGCCCTAGAGCTCAGAAATCCTCCAGTTAAAAACTTCACTGAAATCAACAAATTTCCAAAAAAGGTTTCACTTGGACAAAACAATATATTTCAACAAAAATATATTTTTCTAAAATTATCCACACCAGCTCCATTTGGAAGAAATTCTGAATATTCTATTCTTAAGGTTTTGTGTCCAAAAAAAGCTTTGTAATACATACAGCAATCATACAGCATTATTGATTCATGACGTGGAATCTTTTATTTTATACACTCTTTATTGAATTCCCTTTAGCCTATTCACAAGATACCAAACACATACCTGAATTAAAATGATCTCTCTCTCTGTCTCAACCTTTTTCTCCCTCCAATGTACACTTTTCTCCAGCCTCATGTCTAATATTCACTCATATGTCAAAAAACAAAAGTATCTGATGTTCTCACCACATATCCCACCACATATACATCTCACCATCCATCCATATTTTTTATCATTCTAATATAATAAAGGGCTTAGGCCATCTGTCTGTCTGTCTGTAACGCTCTTGGAGCACTCTGATTGGTTACTGAAACAACCAGAGTGCTCCAAGAGCATTCCGGACAGGATGTGGTGGCAGTGGCATGGCAGAGTATTGCCATTGCATGGTGGGGACAGAGCAGGGGGGCAAGGCCAACGGTGCTGGCCTGGCCCCCACAACACCCAGTCCTGCTCCCTGGAGGTGGTGGTGACGGAGCGGACGGAGGCACAGGGTGCTTGTCAAGGGGGGTGAAGGGGGCGGTGGAGCAAGGTTTCCCCCACACACACACACTCCTGGGAGGCAGTGGCAGGGAGGGGGGGGGGGAGGGGGGGTGGCACTCCGTCCCCACCTGCCCCTCACCCCCTACATCATTCCTGATGGGCAATTGGCTAGTACAATCATAACAATAAAGTTGCAGCATCTTTTACTCAGCTATGTTTACAGTTCTACAAGCCTTTTCCACAAAATCTCAGGTAATGGTAATATTAGAGAAAAATAGATAAGCACCATTTTTAGTCCATCATTCTTCATTTGTTTTAATTGAAAGACAAAGTTCAGGCAAAACATGCTTAAATTTGATGTAGTCCCCCAGCATCTCCACAAACCCAAGGGGTTCTTTGGGGGGTGGGGGGTATTAATTATGGTGAAAATCTATTATCCTAGTTATAAGTTATGGATTATATGGGTATGAAAGTGTATGTATACTCTATAAAAGGTATGTGTATAGCATTCTATATGCATGAACACATATACGTACAAGCATGTAGTGTTTCTGGACTTTAGGAAGGCCTTCAACACTGTCTCTCACCCCATTCTCATTAAAAAATTAGGCAATTGTGGTGTTGATGCCTACATGGTCAGATGGGTCACTAATTGGCTGGAGGACCACACCCAGAGAGTGGTGGTCGTTTATTAAAGCATGAAGGCCTTGTGGGCAGTGGGGTTCCCCAGGGCTTGGTCCTTGGGCCCACACCGTTCAATATCTTCATCAGTGACTTGGGCGAGGGGGTGAAAAGCACCTTGTTCAAATTCGTAGATGACACTAAGATGTGGGGAGAAGTGGGCACACTAGAGGAGAGGGACAGGCTGCAATTAGATCTGGATCGGTTACAGGGGTGGGCGGATGAGAACAGGATGGGTTTCAATACTGACAAGTGCAAGGTGCTGCACCTGGGGAGTAAGAACCAGCAGCATACCTACAGGCTGGGGAACTCCCTTCTAGTCAGCACAGAGGCAGAAAAGGATCTTGGAGTCATTACTGACTCCAAGATGAACATGGGCCGACAATGTGAGGACATGGTCAGGAAGGCTAACCGCACCTTGTCATGCATCCATAGATGAATCATGAGCAGGTCCAAGGAGGTGATCCTCCCCCTCTGTGCGACACTGGTCAGGCCGCAGTTGGAGTACTGCATCCAGTTCTGGACGCCACACTTCAGGAGGGATGTGGACAGCATTGAGAAGGTGCAGAGGAGGGCCACTTGCATGATCAGGGGGCAGCAAGGCAGGCCTTACAAGGAGCAGATACAGGACCTGAACCTGTTCAGCCTCCACAAGAGAAGATTGAGATGGGATCTGGTAGCCATCTATAAACTCACCAAGGGGGACCAGCAGGCAATGGGAGAGTCCCTGTTCCCCCGAGCACTACTGGGAGTAACAAGGAATAATGGCCATAAGTTGACTGAGAGTAGATTCAGGCTAGATATCAGGAGACGCTACTTCACAGTCAAAGCAGCTAGGATCTGGAACCAAGTTCCAAAGGAAGTGGTGCTCACTCCTACCCGGGGGGTCTTCAAAAGGAGGCTAGATAGACACCTTGCCGGGGTCGTTTGACCCCAGCATCCTTTCCTGCCCATGGCAGGAGGTCGGACTAGATGATCTGCTCAGGTCCCTTCTGACCCTACCAACTATGAAACTGTGTGCCCACACAAATACATGCACACATTTGCATGAATGTAATGTCATCTGTTTAATATCAACTACCAAAGAAGAATCTCTTGATCTCCCTGCAGTAGTAAATGTCTATCACACCAGTTGAATTGATTTTTTTCTTTCTTTAGTCACACACAAACTTTAAAGTTGTGTCTTAAAGTACCATTGCCTTCTGGAAAACTTTGGGAAATGTTCCAATTAGAAACAATCTGACTTCTGTACCACATCTGGCCTTCATGCTTTAATAATCCCTTGAGCACAGCACATAAATAATGTGCACTCAGAAGCTGCACACTTCTACTGCATTCTATTGATTTCAGTGGGATGTAGAAAAATGTGGTTGATAACCATAAGGCAAAAACAGATGCTAGTTTCTTGGTCATCTATCATGTATACATTACTAGTATTTTAAGTATTATTTATTAGGTAATGTCAGTATGTTGTACAGAACAAAAAGGGGATTGATAAATATGAAAAAGACTGGATTCTTTTTTGTTTGTTTGTTTCTTTGTGGTTCATCTGCTACCTTATGCCATAGATTTTTGTAACACAAATGACTTAGTCCATTTATGATGTCACAAAACAGGGGTTGAATTCTTTCTGTTAAAAGAGCATTTTTTTTCATGCACATGCATGTAAAAATGTACAGAACCACTTTAAAAAGCTTGCTGAAATTTGTGAAAAAATAAATGTAATATCATATATGCAGATTTGTTTCTAAATAGATGGCCAGACCCTGATCTGATAAGAGTCACTTAATTCTGTTGACTTCAATGGAGCTATGCAGATTTTTATCAGTAGAGTATCTTGTCAGAATTATTTTTCAGTTTCCCAAGCAGCGCCAACATCTTTGCAAACTGTGACAAAAAGTAATTGCAGTATATGAAAATTATGG